AGAGGAGAAACGACTGGCGTGCTTTGCTGAACTCGGCCAAAATCGCCTAGGCGGTTACAGCGCCAAAAAAGAAGAAAAAGAAGAATACTTTGGAAAGTTTTTAATCTACTAAAATTAAGATGGCCGCAAAACCTAATCTGGAAATCACATACAAAGGAATACAAATTAACTTAAAATACTGTAATATGTTAAGTAATCCCTTTTTTATCCTTTTGACCAGGATTTTTTTGCACAATTTCCATATAATTGCCCCCAATAACAATGTCGCAGTCGCCATGTAAATATTGTAGACATGCTGTTGTGGCAGCATATCGCATTTTAACACCGAATAAGTACTCGCGCTAAATGAAGCCTGTAGAAAGGAGTAGAAAGAAGGCAAGAAAAAAAGAGTACAAAAATTTAAAATAAAAAATGTTTCGCCATACCATTAAGAAACTTAATTGGCCAATTGGCTCAACTTTATTACGCCAACTAAAGGAAGCTACTGTATACTCTTCAACACCAAAACGATTAATGCTGAAGCAATAGTAATGACTATGACCAGCAAAAGCAACGCGTGGTAGGAGCAGGCGACCTAAATTATATATTGGTGTATTAGACGTAAGCAAAATACCTACTATGCAGTCTCACTTAAAAATAAAATAATGTGTCACCTATTAAATCGGTAGATTCCTTTGAAAGCACCTCCCAGTTTTCACGAAATAACTCTATATTGGGTGCATCATGTTCCCTGCATTCCGATTTTCGATAGGTAGGAAAGTGTTGCATCAAAATCGGCTGTAGGTTTTGTGCACCTTAAGCGCATGGATATCGGTGCATGTTTCCCGGTTTTTAGACATGTTAATTGTTCTGCAATGCATTATTAGTAGTTTTCAAAGAAAATTTCTTGTAACTAAAAACTTCAAGATGTGTAATTATGTATATATTTACCTGATATTCTATTTAAATCACGCAAAGCTGTGTTACAGAACCTACATCCATCATTTAACATTGCCATCGAGTTGATCATTACAAAATGATTTCCTTTGATTGTGTACATTTCCACACCACTGCTATTGAAGTGTTTTGAAAAACGCTTAAAAAATAACCGTCCATTCTATAAGTATATTTTGTGAATAAGTTCAATATATTTAAAAAAACAACTGCATTGTACTTATAATGGAATCCGATATCATGATTACCCACAGCACTAATAATAGGAACGCCGGCTGGTGTGCTGAAAAGGCGATGAAACCGTTGTACATAATGTTCAAAATCGTTATTATTAACAAAGTCGCCCTCATCGAAAAGGTCACCCAATACGAAAACGACATCGGGTTGGAAGAGTCTCATTGCAGCCTATAATATAATAATTATTTTAAAACTTTTATTAAACAAGTAAAAGCACACTTTACCTGAAAACTCCGATGCATATGCCATTCTCTGTACAGCCGATCTAGCCAGTGACCACGTATTGGACCCAGTAGATGTGTATCGGCAATTATAACAGCCCTCAGCTCCTCCTCATTTTTATTTTTAATGATTTTATGTGACAGCTTTGGCCAATTGCAAAATGAAAGCTGAATAAAATCCGCCAAAAACTCACAGTAAAGAAATGTCAACAAGGCAATGCACCCAATTTTTGTCCGCCAGTGCATTTTTAGTTCTTAGATTTCTTGCAAATGAAAAAAAATTGGCAAAAGTTTTTAAGTAAACAATAGCAAAACAAGAACAATTTCAGTCGTCGGCACTTTGTTGTTAAAAAATAACGAAAATAGTTCAAGTTAAAAGGCAGCAAAAATGATGTTTACGAATGGTTGTACGAAATAAAATGAAAAGAAAATAGAAAAGTGTGTGTAAAAATGTCATAAAAGAAACGGAGTTAACAAAACTTGGCAGCACTGACTTAACGAAACGCCACTTTCATCGTAACTGACAGTTCGGCAGAATAGCATAACCTCCAAGAGCGCAGTGAATTTTTCTAACGAGTAAAGTGGGCCTGCTGGTGGACTTCTGTTAATTTTTTATTAAAACGCTTAATTAAATTGTGTTAAATATTTGGTGCGTATTCGAAAATTGTTTTCCCAAACTTTGTGCTAACAAATAATAAAGTGCGCGTTTGATTATAATATAATTAGGCGAAGAAAATTTGTTGGTTTAGAACGCGATGGCGTGGAGAAAGTAATGCCTTTAGCAATGGCGGCTTTGATAGCCAGTGAACAAGTAGCAAATTCTGGCGCAAAATTCTTTTGCGGGATTTTAATTGAGTCAAATGTAATACCAAATTAGCAAAAGAATAAGTACTGTTTAGCTGCTGGGCCTTGAGTTCCGAATTTAGATCAAAGGAAAGTCAAGCAAAATCATTGGATAGACAGCTGTAGTGGTTGGAAACAGGAGGGGCCCCTTATAGTACAGTCCCCGTGATGAAAATAGGCAGTATTGTGCTCCCATGTTTTTGTGGGTATCAAGGGATCATGCACGCGGGGCGATGCCAGACTTGACGCATAGTTGCAAAATTTCAGTACCTTCGTTAAATTTTTCTTCACCAGAGTAGATAGAATAAAATATTTTTAGATACATACATATCACTAGTGAAAAATTGCTAAGTCGAGTATTTAAAATTTTGCATGAAAAAATAAAAACCTTTGAAAATCATCACTTTATTGTAAAAATTTTAATGTAAATTTTTGAGTACTCGGGCCCTGTGCCAATTGATAGAAAATAGAAAATTTTGACGGATCAAAGTAAAAATTTGACACTTCTCGTGGCGAATACGAACGAAAATTTTGACAGCTTATAACCATGTATACACATAATCATGATACAAAAAACAAGGTAGTTCCATTGTCACTTTTTCGTCGCCA